CATTATGCCAATGACAAGCTCTCTCTAACGCTCTTGCCTGCATTGAACAACAAAATTCCGATTTGAAGCACTGAAGTTTCATCAGTCCTCCAATATTGTGATGCCTAGATCGCTTCAATGGTGGCTGCAACCTTTGTGATGAAGTCGCTCTCTTTGCATGAAAGTGACAAGGATAAGCAAGTTCTCTCGGTAGGACTTGGTGGAGGAAGCTTCGATATGGGATTGCATCGAATCAAGCCCCATGTACGAAATGGCAGTCTTATGAGTTTATTTTATTTCATTATTTATTTCAATTTTATTATTTTATACATACATTTGTACATTATTTGGTTTGGATACATTAATAATTTGGTTAAGGTCAACATTACGGTCATTGAATTGGAACCGGTAGTGATGAAATTGGCATTCAAATGGTTCGGAGTGGTCGATTCGGGAACTCATCATACAATTTTGCGGGATGGAATAAAGTTCGTAGATGACTCGCTCAGCCGAGGTATGGCCATCTAAACTTTGAAAAGAAACGGTGTGTGGCAGGAATTCAGAAGTGCCTGGGATCCGTAGGAATGCCGAACTCCCTCGAGTATGTCAGCAACGGAGCGTCCATTTCCAATTGCTGCCATGTTAGCATGATGAGACTGAAGCGTTTCTTCAAATCAGTTTTCTCCCTGATGGCCTGATCACGTAACATGCTGAATCCCCACAATGGCATAACCGTCTCCCCACATTTGACACGCACTTCTTCACGGGTTCGGATTCGGCCTTTAGGGTGGAGGTGGTATGGCGGTCAATAGCGCACAATCACGCTTCAGGGTCCAGACGCTGATAACATCTTGCTACCTTCTGGAGCAGCTTTTCCCTCCTTTATATATACACATTAGTGGAAGGCAGGTTCTATGATGAAGTGAGCAACAAAAAGAGCAACTCTCATGAGTAAAGAAAATAGTTTCCCCACAAAATCCGCATAATCGGGCCGATTTTCTGAATGTTTGGCCCTGTAGTTGTAAAGGTTGAAAGTCGTCAGCGAAGTTAGCCGCCCAGCACAGGCGAACACAGTCGAATTCATCAAAAACCTATATAAATGTCGTTTTCTTTTGCAATTTCTCTCACAATTAGACCTGCTGAATGTCATCTAGAGGCGTCTAGGAAGAAAATTCGACGTTGTTGCTCTTGACGCATGTGGTGAGCTGTCAGACACGGTTATATGCCCTGCTAAACCTTTTCAGAATATGGATATCCTGGAGAAAATCAAGGACATTCTCACTCCGACAGGTAGAATTAGGTACACGCTTACTCCATAATCCAGAGACGATAATGAAACTGTTGTAGGATCATTAGTTGTAAATCTTCTATCCATGGAACACAGTGCTCATAGTGACTATGAGTGGACAAAGGTTAGTTTATTCCATCAAGTAGCGAGAAGTCAGTTTTTTTGATTATTATCTGAGCATCACTCGGTCATCATCGGTTCTAAACGGTAGCTGAATGCGTGGCTTATGCCAGAAATTGGTTTGATTCACCCCAATAATGTTTTATTCTCTTACTCTCATTTCATTGCAGGCGCTCAAGCTGTTTCAGTCAGTTTTCGAAACATGTGTGTTGCTGGTTATGCATAGCACGGTAAGCGGGTTCTTACAAAAATAATGTTCTTTGTAAAAAAAAATTCTCATTTAGAGTAACACCGTGGTTGCTTGTACAAAGTTCTCGTTCCCATATGTACCTAACCTCATGGAATACTTTGGCAATCGGCTGTCTTCGGTCATATCGACACTAAATCTTGATGTTCTTGACAACAGACCTTACGTTACACTCTTATCTGTAAAGTGAAGTGGTCCTCGGACCCGGAGACGGGCATTAGGAACGATTTTCTGCAATCGATTGGCCGCA